CCCCAAGGTGGGTTTGTGGGGCCGGGGATGGCAGAGAATACCCCAAGGTGGGTGTGTGGGTCCGGGGATGGGAGAGGGTTCCCCAAGGTGGGTTTGTGGGGCCGGGGATGGCAGAGAGTACCCCAAGGTGGGTTTGTGGGTCCGGGGATGGCAGTGGGGTTCCCCAGAGGGGTGCGGGGATATGGGGTATGGTATTGGGCACCCCACTGTGGATGCGTGGGTCCAGGGATGCAAGTGGGGTACCTTGAGTGGGGATGTCAGTCCAGGGATGTCAGTGGGGTACCCCAGTGGGTGTGTGGGTCCAGGGATGGCAGAGGGGTACCCGATTGGGGGATGTGGGTCCAGGGATGGCAGTGGGATCCCCCAGTGGGTGTGTAGGTCCGGGGATGGCAGTGGGGTACCCCAAGGTGGGTTTCTGGGTCCAGGGATGGTAGTGGGGTACCCCAAGGTGGGTGCAGGGATATGGGGTATGGTATTGGGCACCCCTCTTTGGATGCATGGGGCCGCAGATGGCAGTGGGGCTCCCCAGTGGGTGTGTGGCTCCAGGGATGGCAGTGGGGCTCCCCAAGGTGGGTTTGTGGGCCCAGGTGTGGCAGTGAAGCCCCCCCGAGTGGCTGTGAGAGTCCCGGGGTGTCACCCAGCTCTGGATGTGCAGTGTTGTAAAGGGACACCCAGCGTGTGCTGAGCCCATACTGGGAGCACTGGGGCTGAACTGGGGGAGCCCAGCCATGGGGTGGGGACAGGCAGGGCCACCCCTGTGTGCTGCCAGCCTCATGCCACTGTCACCGTGGGAAGGGAGCGTGGCTGAGCAGCCCCTCCTTGAGCTCCTCTCTCATCCCGCCTGCCCCTGGCCAGCACAGCACAGAAATATGTTTTGAAGAGAGCTGCAGGGCTTATTCTTTTCCTGATGATGCTAAATTTAAGCTCCCAATCTTCTTATCTCCTGTGAAGGCAGCGCCATCTAATCTCCTGCGAAGGACCCGGTGCATTTCCCCGAGCAGAGCTACTCCAGAGCTGCTCCTGCTTGTTCCTTCACGGACACAAACAAGAGGCTGTGGTTTGCTTCCGTCAGAGGGGAGGCATGCTGCAGTTCCCTGCTCCCAGGAGATTTAGGCCAAACACAAAGAAGAGGGAAGAAAAAAAAAAAATCATGCTATTAAAATGTTTATTATCAGAAATATCCTGACTCTGATGCTTAATCTGCTTCCTGCTAGTGCCAGGAAGCCAGCCCTCGTGGAAGCTGCAGAAAAAAAAAGTGGACAATCATTTAGGGGACAAGATTTAGGGTTTTTTAAGGCTCTCTTGGTGTTGTCTGTAAAATTCCTGGCTGTGTTATCACCAAACTAACAGAAGTTGGTAAGGGGGGTGGGTGCAGTGCCGAGAGGGGCAAGGAGGAGGTCTGGAACCTGCCAGCAACTGCTCTGACCCCTCACTCACCCCAGTGCTGTGAGTCCCCTGGGTCAGGACCCTGCCCAGCAAACCATGGAGGCAGCAGCAGGGGATGGATGAGGTGAAATCCAGGTGCTGCTCAGCCAGTGGTTTGTTCCTCTCCGCCTTCCTCCCAGGAAATCTCTGCTTTGTGTCCCCGAGCTGCCTCAGGCCGTTCCTCTGCTGTGCCAGGGCTGCAGTGAGGGGCTGGGCTGGGCTCTTTCCCCCTGGCCCAGCTCCCAGGGCTGTGAACACTCCAGCTCTGGCTGATTTTGATGGGAAACCTTTTGGGGTGGAGCCCGGTGGAGGATTCTTAATTAGCGAGGGTGTCCCAGCCGTGCTGGGAACTGTTAACTGCTGCTTGCCAGTACTCAGCCCTGCTGGGACATCCCAAAATGAGGCTTTTCCACAGAGAAAGTGGCAGCTCCACCTGCTTGGTGCCTGGGCTCAGAATCCTTTACCAGTGGAGCTGCACTCTCAGGCCAAACAAAGAGCACCCGAGCTGAGGAGAATCCAGCTCATCCCTCCTGCATCCCTCCTGCAGCTCATCCCGCCTGGCGTGGAGCCGTGCCAGGTTAATTTTCCTGCTCCTTTCCATGGTGACAGGCAGTCACCCCCTCGGGCAGCTCTGGAAGGGCTCTGCTGGCAGCGCTGCAGGAGGGAAATGGCAGGGGTTGTGGCAGGGTGCACCTTGTCTGGGCAGGTAGATCAGGTGTGTGATGAGGCAGACACAGCATTATCGTCTGTGCCCAGCAGCTGGACGCTTTGGTGGCCCTGTGGTTTCCTCCCCCCCGCGGCTGATAATCCAGCAGTGGTTTTGCCGAGCTGGGGCTTGCACAGCTTTCCTAAAATAGTCGGTGAAAGGAGATGACAAAATGCGAGGGCGTGTTGCAAATGGCACGTAGGCTGTGTGACAGCTGCCCTGCCAGCAGCCGGGCCGGCTCCTGCTTGGGGACCCTGGCTCCAGCTGGAGACACGTCCCCTGGCAGCCAGCAGGGCTCGGGACAGGCTGCTGCACGCCTGGACTAATCCAGAAGGTGGCAATGGCAATCCACAGACACTGCCTGCCTGGGAAAAGAGGATTTCCTGGCGGTGCCGAGCTGGTGTTTAAGGGATATTTACAGAGGGGCTGCTTCTCTGCGTGTAGAGAAATCTGGAGTGACACCAAACATTGCAGAAAATACACCTTGCTTGGAAATGTGGCCACGTCCTGGGTGTTTTGGGGTTGGTTTGTAAGGGATGGTGTCCTCATACATGTTAGCGCATTTAATTTCCTTCCTTCCTTCCTTCCTTCCTTCCTTCCTTCCTTCCTTCCTTCCTTCCTTCCTTCCTTCCTTCCTTCCTTCCTTCCTTCCTTCCTTCCTTCCTTCCTTCCCTCTCCCTTTAGTTTGGCCTGTTCCATGCAGGACTGGGATGTCCCCAACGAGCTCTGTGACATTCCCAAAGTGCCACCACTTCTCCAGCCAGGTCCATTCCCTGTGCATTGGGACCCGAGCTATGGGGGCTGCCTGCCGGGCTCCTTGTCCGTACACACGGACACATTTGGGGGTGAAAAAGCACAATATTCCCTCTGGCAGCATCTTCCCACTGCACCCAGCCACCTCTCGGGCTTCTGTCGTGCGAGGAGCTGAAACAAAAGCCCGTGGAGCAAAATCTGGGCAGAGAGAAGCTGCTCGCTGGGTCCCCAGCAGAGGGTGGTGTCAGCCCTTGCCCTGCCCGGCTGGCATTCCCTGGCATTCCCTGGCTGTCTGGCATTCCCTGGCTGTCATTCCCAGCAGTGCCAAGAGGCAGGAGAGGGGAGCACCAGCTCCAGCACAAAATCCAACCTCTTTAATTTATTCAAGCTCCCTTTTAGGTCCACATTAAAAGCAGCACCTGAGTCCTCTCCACACTCCCCATCCTCTTGCAGGGCAGTTTGTACAGCCTGGAGCTCACAGCTCACCAGCCTGTGCTGGATTCCAGCTCCTCCCGAGCCTGGCTGCACAGGTTTTGGGTTTTTTTTTTTTATTTTTCTCTCAGAAATACCTCTGCCATCAGCCCTCTGGGTGCAGAGGTAGGCGAGGAGCGTACTTGCTCCAACACCTCCCACGCAGAGCCTGGCTCTGCAGCTGCAGGGATTGCTCCCAAGTGTCCAGGGGCCAAGAATGCTTTTTATTACTCAGTAAAAAAAAAGCTAAGCTGTGGCTCGCAGCTTTAATTATGCACATACAATAAACTCCTCTGTTGTCATCTACCTACAGACCTGACCTCACACGGCAGGCTGGTTCTGAGTCAACCAAAAATTATCCCTGGCACGACTCCAGTGCCTTCAGTAGCCTCGTGATCCCTGCCCATGGGTGCTGTTGGAGGGCAGAAACGCTCCGTGAAGAGCTGAAAGATCAAGAAAATCATTGTGAGAAAGCACCTCCTCAGGGTACGGGGCGTGTGGGCTGAGATCTGGGTACTCGCAGGGCAGGGCGCAGCTCTGGCGGTGAGACGGGAGCGTGTGGATGCTGCTCCCTCCTGGATGGCACTGCCCGCACCCTGCCCTGGCCCGGGGGCACCGCCAGCACCTCGCCATGAAAGCATTTCTTACCAAAAAACCCCCCCCAAACTTTCCTTGGAATATGAAACAATTGTTTTCTGTTCGCCGGAGAGATCCTCCTTCCTGGATTGAAAAGGAAGGATCATGGCTGTGGAGTTGTTTCTCCTTTATCTCCGCTTGGCTCCATTTGGAAGAGATTAGTGTTGCATTTGTTTGACATCCAGGTTAATAGCTTCCCTTCGTCCCAGTCCCGGCTTCCGGTTCTGGCTAAATGGAAAGCCGGGCTGGAAATTAATCGGCAAACTCTGGGGAGAGGATCTCGGAAGAAAACTCAGAACAGATTTGAAAAGAGGCTGTTCTAAGCCGCGCTGATTTGGAAGGAAGCCACCGGTGAAAATCAGAGATTTTTCAAGAGTTTGCTGCCAAGGAGTTAATGCCTGAGAGTCGAGTTTTTTAATAAATACGCTGGTAATTAATTATAGGAGTTGTCCTCCCGTTTGAAAGTCAAGGAGCACGATGCCTTGTTTGGGTTAAACATCCCCGGCAGTATTTGCAACCCAAACACGGGATGGCGAGCGCTCAGACAAAGCGGGCTCTGTGTGTGCGGGGCAGCCCCGGCACCGGGGGGACCCCGGGCAAGGGGGACCCCACAAAACGCGGGCACAGCGGAGCAGCGCCGGGGCTCTGGGCGGCTTTCCCGGAACAGGGAGAGAGGAGCGGGAGGGAGGGATACAAGGGAGGGGAGGGAGGAAAAAAAAAAAAAAAAACAAAAAAAAAAACCAAAAAACAAACCCAAAATAACCCACAAAAAGCAGGAAAAATAAAAAAGAGGAAGGGGAAAAGGGAAAAAATATTGGGGAAAAACAAGCGGGCTCCGAGGCAAAGCGTCGCCAAAGCCCCTCCGCCCCCGCTCCAGCCCCGGCTCCCGCAGACAAAGGGGCGGCGGGCGGGCCGGGGGCGGGCCGGGGGCTGCTCCGCTGCCCGGGGCG